GTGTGTGTGTGTGTGTGTGTGTGTGTGTGTGTGTGTGTGTGTGTGCATGAACTTTAGACTCAACCCAAGATGGCCACCACATAAAAAGGTTATAACTCACTTACAGAGGTCAGTTATTCCCAATTCATTGTCTGAACTTTAACATCTTTTCATTTTCAAAAATATCGCACGAGCTTTACCCCCTGCAGTCAATCATAATCACAGCCTACACACAATGTCAACACAACACAACACACAACACAATGTCTATAAAAAATTCAAGTGTTTCTTCACTTTAAGTAATGATATAACGTTCAGTGTATTTCTTTGATTAATCTGCTTCAAATAGTAAAATCAGTTGAACATTTCGAGTTGAAATCCTTCAGATTTTTWGTTTCACTTCTTGTCAACACTCTTCTATTTGTTTTAATCAGCAAACATGCAGAGAAACCAGTCGAACTAACTTAAACTCGTTAAAAATAAATCCTCCCATTATGTTCAGTATGAACAGTTATGAAGCTGAGGTTTCCCACGGTTTGCTGTGGCACCGGCTGGAAGCAGCCGGCGGTCAGCTTTTAATACTTACAGGTGAAATATTTCATAAGAAGTCACTGGTGCTTCAGGATGTGACATAAAACCCAACAGGAAGCAGCTCCTGCTGCCTGTGGACGACATGAGCAACATGTTGGATTGAACCGTGGGTTCAAATGGGCTTCAGGTCTGAGGGATAAATTAATAAATCTTTCTGATGCTGCGAGGGGAAAAACTTCCTTGATCTGCTCCTGAAGAAAGCAGAATGAGAACCATAGAGCTCAGATTAAAGTCTGTCTCTGATTCACTCAGGCAGCAGCACCCCTGGAATCAACTGATTTAAGATGACTTCCCCAGCTGGGACAGTTGGTGGGCAGGGGCAGTGGGCCGGGAACTTAGTACCTGACTGGCCCATTCAAGGTCCGGGCTGGCAGATGATGGAGGCGGAAACAACAACCATCATCTCAGGGCAATCTGAGGATGTAATGTTGAGGAATTAGTAAAGTTAATAAGATAGCAGAGCAGCAGTCAGCTCACAGGCATCGACCCTCAGAGTTATGGTCATTTTTGACTCATTCGACTCAAATGGGGACTTGACTTTTGTCCCCCAAATGCACCAGTTGTCCCCAAATGTAGGATTTCTGTCTTAAAATTGCCCCCAGATGTCACCAGAAACAACCCCCCTCACACACACACACATGCATGCCTGCACACTAAACGTCATCGCATCTTGCCTTTGGCAGAGAGAGGATATTTGTGCAACAAGATGTAACAGAATCAAATTTTCAAAAAGGAAGAAGGTGCTTTTTTTAAAAAAAACAAACTAAATAAAAAATTCAAATGTTAAAAGAGATATAAACAGAAAACTGTCCTTATTTTAATCTCAAACTCCACATTTCCTGATTAATAAACAAAGAAAAAARGATTATAAAAGGAGATCTGACATCGAATTTTTAAAACATATTCAGTTTTCTGGTTGGTTTTCCTGACTGACCTGCTGTTCACTTCATCTTCACCTGRTCTGCTTCTCATCACCTGGAAATCCTTGTTAAACTGTTAAACACTGTACCTGATAATCTACCACATTCAGAAACCATCAAACTGTCACTCTGCTGCTTTAAACTCATGTTGAGGAGTTAATTAACATAAATACAGACTGTATAATCTATTCACATGATTTTTTATCTTCATCATCTCCCAACAAACCTCTAGCCATGAGAACAAACTGGAAGCAGCACATTGTGTGTGTTTGGTTTAACGTGAGACAGCAGAGCGTTCTGACAGGCCCAGGTCAAACCAGGCTGAGGCTGGGACACGCCCACACCTGCTCTAATTACTAAAATACATCTTTATATTCTCTTCGAGTCACTGCCTGCKTCTCAGCCAGCCGCTCAAATGTTGCACTTTTCACTTCGCGTGTCGTCGTCGGTTTGTTGAGAACAGGAAGCAGGGATGTTGCACTGGTGGAGCATTAATGTGCAGGTGAAGTTTCAGGGAGAAAACCTGGAAAATTAACAGCAAAATCAGTGTGAGAGAAGTGACATCAGTCCTTAGAGCCAGCTCTTACACAGCTATGTGCAGAAGTTTTCATCCAGACTAATTATTTTTTGTTTCTTTTTTTTTGTTAATATAAAAACTCCAAAACACT